CTCTCCAGCAGCATTCTTCTTCAACAGAGTCTACACCAATACATATTCTGTTAAGATTTTCAAGTTTGTCTCTTCAAATGAGAGATAAGATTCAGTATCAACAGCTCTGTAGAGAGGATCAACATTAAAGTAACTAGCTTTAGTAATTAGTACATGCTTGTTAGAGCAAAAAAAAGCTGTGAATAAAACTGTGTTCCCCAGTAACAATCATTCAGTAGTCACCCAACTATTAATACTCTAATTTTGTTTTGGAGGGGAGAGGCACTACTGAGAAGTAGGCTTGGATACTAACTCACAGTGTATTGATTACTCGGCACTAACTCTGATAACTGTGTACTGTGCTGGCTCTCGGCACATTGTAAACATAAACTATCTTACTTTTCTTTTCTTTGAAAAAAAAGAGTACTGAGAGTACTGTATGCCATACTTCCTGTGCACTGAGTCAGTACACAAGGAAATGCCATAAAACAGCCAGCATGATGAAGATGCATGACTGCCCTTACTCACTGGTAGCTTTTCTAGATTATCTGTAGCTTTTGAAAACTAGAACTCTAAACCCAAATGTTGACTCTGAAATGCTTTATCAAAACCTATTTTCCTACCTTCCACTTAGTTTTAGTGATTTTATAGACATTTTCACAAAAAATGCTAGGACTTACCTGTACGAAAAGATATTGCTGTGATGGGACCCCAGTCTTGTTGAAATTTCATCAGAGTTTCATCAAATTTAATATTATGTACGATGATATGACCAGAGACAAGACCGACTGCAACAACATCCACTGCTGGGGCCTGCAAGAAAAATTGAACAGCAACTGAAATGAAAAAGGAAAAGCTTGTTGCCACACCATTAATAACAACATGTACAAGACAATGTATCTAAGTCCAGGTCAAATAGTAATGAAAGAAATAAGGCAACTCACATGAGATCTTCTATCTATGTTACTACCTTAACGCACAACTGAACATCTGACAAATCTAAGCAAAAACTGAGATGCACGATTTTGCGCTTAGTCTCCATTGGATGAAACAATTCTGTTTCCAGAAGCTGGAACTCCTTTGAAAATCACCTCACTTCAAATTTTCAGTAATTCTCATAAACCATTATACACCTTGCCACACACCCCCACATTTAAGAGTTTTACCTAGGACAACTGCAGATCATCAATAAGTTTCAATTAACTTTCATATCTACAAAAATACAGCAAATTCCATTACAAAATCTTTAATTGAATCAGCAAAATCTACTAGCCTCCAAAGCACAATATATTTAAGATAGCAAAAAGCTACCAGTGTAACAGAAGTTACACGATATACAAGCATCTGGCAAACAAACTGTTTCAGTCAATTCATTACATCATTCAGTGAAAAAATACTACAGACATGATGAACACATAACAGCTAAGATGCCAAATGCAACAGAACTAGGACTAGAGGAAGGGTAGACAAGAAGTCTCCAAGTCTATCTCTCTTCAATGTGTAAAATGCTCAAGAGGGAGTTATTAAAATTACCTGAGAATACAAGTTATCTTTATTGCTGTGATTTTAAACAACACTATTTTGCCTGCTATTCTTGACTAGTTACGTAAGGGAAAAAGATACCAAAAGAGTACTAACTTGTTCAAGGGTTGTGACCGCTGAGTGCCAGCCTGGAAACGAGTATAAGAGTTTGCTGGAAAACAAATAAAAAACATTAATCAATTAACCCCTGGGGATTTCCACAACAAAATGGAAGCTTTATATGCACTTACACAGAAAAGTATGTCAGTTTTCTGTCCTTATAAATCAGTTAAAAGGAAAAAAACCCCTGGGATACCACTAAATAAGGTTAAGAATAAAACTTACGGTTAATTTTTATTGAAAAAGTTAGTGTCATGCATTAATACCTCAAAGGTGACATAATTACATAACATGAATAGGGAGGAAGACCCCTTCTATGTGAGTTGTTCCCCCTGTGTTTCTGCTCTGAACACACCTCCTCAGAATTCTCAACATCAACATAAAAAGCGAGTCTTGGTCCAGCTTCTGATAAATCAAATCCTTCACTTGTGGAGTAACTTCTCTAAATTAAGTCACTAATGCATATTACAAGCACACCCCATCTTGTTTCTTTCAGAAATGGTAACACACAAAATGTGAAGCAGGACTGTTTACCAACAAGGCAGTCACACATTACTTATTAAGGGTGAAATTATGAAGACAGTATTTAATAACTGACATGATTTAAAAACTATTCCATCACCACAGATATAGGCTGTCATTCTTAAAAGACTGCTAGCAGCCATGTGTTACCACCTCTCGCTTTCCTTTCTTGCCAGAGACCATCAAACTTTCCCCTCAGTTCTTCCAGTTTATTTTCTGTCTAATTGTGCCCATACCTATCTAAAAATAATCTGTTTAGGGAACAAACAGTGAAAACCAGAAATTGCTTAACCCAACAGCATTGCTAAAAGAGCAGTAATGGTCCCATAAGTTTTTACACAATTAAAAGAGAAACTAAGCCATCTAAGCACGACTTTTTGTCATTTAGGATGTATTGCATCGCAAGATGCCATGACAGGCATTGGAGAGACATACAGAGTATTATGAGTAGAGACAATTACTTTTCTCTATTTTTAGGTTATTCCTATTTCCTGATTTATATACCATATATGGCATCTTCAAAACATTAGAATATGAAACAAAAAAAATAGCAGTGATACAATTGAAAGTATATAGTAGTTACGAGAATAAAACACTGAACTATACAAGCTGAGTATAACACCTATTTGCAGTACATACATTAACATGCAGGGAAGTTCACTGTAGCTGTAACTTTCACGAATTAGAAAAGCAATTGATTATGGTAGGCATAAAATACCGCGATTATGAACATGCTCTACTGGGACATGCTCAGAGACAACTAGATATCCAGACATCTCTTATTTGAGTGTAAGGATCAAATGCCGTAATTTACCTCCACACTACCTGCCAGAACTTCCTTGGACCTACAAGCAAAAAATTAAGCTTGGATTCAAGAGAGGCAGAAGGCCTGAACATGCATTTACTTTATTTTAATTATTTTCACAGGAAAGCTATGTGATTCCAAGAAATACTTAAAAAAAGGGTAATTAAAAAAAAATCTTGAACAATCCCTGACATTTTGCAGGGAGAGTAAACAACACATAACTTGAAAGGTATCAGCATTTAGGGAGCAGCAGCATTCTTTGTTCCTGGAGACAGACCAACTGAAAACTTGTGCCAAAGGACTCAGTAAAAGATTCCATGTTCAAAACCTACTGTACTTTGAAGTATTATTTTTTGCATGTGAAACTACTTGGAGCACGAAGTATATCCAAGTTACTAAGAATCTTACTTGGATCTTATATTCCACAGCTGCAAGCTCCCTTGTTCACTCCCAAGGAGAATTTTATTCAAATACGTGCTGGGATGCAGAACTGCAGAAACTGCAAAAGTGGCCTTATTGAAGTCCACCTGAAGATACTCCTCTGCAAAAAAGTAAGAAGCTATGTTAGTGCAGGCTTGTCACCCCTTGGCAAATGTAAAAAGCAAAACTGATGTTTATTCTGTACAAATCCCATAACTGGCATTTCTTGCATTAAAGGATTAGCTAATGTGTAACAGGACAAGCTAAACTTGTTTACGCTGTAACATCTGTTGGCTTGAAGGTATATTTTTTCCCTATAAGCCAACCTAGCACAACAATGCTGGCAAAACTGTAGTGATTTATATCTTTCTAAGGATCCCTGATCCTGCCTGAGCAGAACACCACAACTGATTAGCATGCTTTTTGTTTGTGATAGCAACCTCAAATCTCTAGAGCCCATCTGCAGCCACTTTCGAGATCCAGCATTCAGGGAATGACACTGGTCAACACCAGTAAGAATGCTTCTAAAGAAAAAAATTCAGGGCACTGAAGCAGGGTTTCATAACGCACTCTACAATGGAATGCGAAGATGTTGACACATTCAAAAGATTATTCGTAGGAATTTAGTCTTACCCAGACTGGTAAATATCAAGGAACTACAGGATTTCAGAGATGGTGCCAAAGCTGCAGTCTTTACCAGAAAACACAGTTTCTGTATAAGCATATCTCTTTACACCTATATGGAACCTTACTGGGTCTCTGCATGTGGTGCAGGACCCATTCATGAAAAATTATTGCAGGACTAGGACTACAGATCACCATATAAGAAACACTATCATTTAAGTTTTTTGGGTTTCTTTAGAATAAACTTCTGAACATGAACATTTAAAAAATCCTTTTTTAAAAAATACTTTAGTTGAACAATGCTGTCCTATAAATTAGTAACACAGAGTCTCTCACCTTCTGACTGTATATTCCAAACAATAAGAACATTATTAACATCCACAGAGATGACATGATCACCAAAAGGCTGCAGAAGGTGTATCCTTGCCTTGTGACCTTCATAGGTATGAACCACCTATAATTTCAAAATAGAAATGTTTTTAATATAAGCTGTTCAGCTTTAAGATACTACCTGAGGACAGCTATCATGTCAACAACAAGTTTAAATAAAATAAATTAAAAGGCCACACAGCTTTAAGTGGAAGACAAAATAATTTTCTCTGATATTTAAGCGTTGGCAAAAATATCTAACCAATTTTTTAATTAGTCAGTTTAATTTTAATTTAATTTATGGGAATTAACAATTTATTTTTTATCTTTAAGTAACTACATTATAATTATAATTAATACATAAAACACATCAGCCATTACAGAATTTGCTCTTACATTCCTGTGTTTTAAGCTCTTTATTCATCGTTCGACAGTTTTTGTTTCCCTAAAACTGAAGGTATTAAAAATCTACGGAAACAGACTTTTATAGAAACGTAACTGTCTCAAAAACACAAGCACTACACAACTCTTTTATACTACTAAGCAATAAGAAAATGAATAAAAACCTCTTTGTTCCTGGCGAAAGCATGGAGAATATTGTCATATGAAGCAAATATCAACATGCGGTCTGCTGACAAACATGTAATGTCTTGTGGCAAAGCATTACCTGTTATTTAAACAAAAGAGAAGTTCAGCAAGTTCCAGGTTCATAACAAAAGAGAAAGCCTGACAGTGTATCTATTTATGATGACCCACCAAGAAAGCTCTCCTGTTAAATGTTCTGTTTAATTTCTTAGGGAAATGCACACATTTCAGATCAAAAGTAACATCACACTGGTAACAACATAAGTAACATCACATTGATAGATCACAGGGAGGTTCTTTTGAAAAACACTTAATAATAAAATTCCTGTAAGTAAAGGCACATGTTAGCTTCATGAGGGTTTATAGATTTATCCCAACCATAACACTTCCACAGACTGTCAGAGACCCACAGCCCACAGACAATTCAACGAAAGTCTCAGCATTAGCAATGCCTATTAGGTTAAGCCATTCTGCAGACATGGAAGCTACTGACCCACTCCTGCACCTGTTTCCTCATTACAGCTGAAGACACAGGGAATTTACTGCTTTAAGAATACATCTCACTCCCCACCTTATGGCTGGTTCAGAAAGAGTATCAATATTGTGATCTGCTACTTTACTAGCTCAAACTGTAAAAGAGTCAGAGCTCCAGACCACATTGACAATCTGCGGGTGTGATCCCAAATGGTAAAAAACTGAACAAAAAAAATACTCTAGGGAAAAATACCCTCAGTCTAGGGAAACACAAAAACACAAATCACATTGCTTAATGACTGTACAGAGACATCTTTGTAACTGCCCTTCAGGTAACATGTTTTTCCCTTCACAAGATTAAATAAATCCAGTTACTTCAATGACTCTTCCCATACTGTGTGCTATAGGCCCCTGACACTCTCCAGTTCCTCAGCATCCCTCCTTAAAGAGAAGGAGGAGCTGTGGGAGGGGGAGAACCACACTAACCTGATATCACAGTCCAGGTATGGCCTCACCAGCATGAGGTACAGGAGAATAACGGCTTTCCCTGATCTGCTGGCTGCATTCCTAATGTAGTTCAGTACACGCCTTGCCTTATTCTCAGTTACTGCATTGCTGGTCCATGTCCCACCTGGCACCAGCACAGCCTCAGCTCCTCTTCAGCAGAGTGCCACACAGCCAGTCAGTTCCCGGCTTGTTCTGTCCCAGGGGCAGGATTCCGCACTTGCCCTCACTGAACTCGGCAAGACTTCTGCTGGCCCAGGCCTGGTGTTTTGCAATACCTCCCTGGTCTGAAGCTCTGCCATTTTGGATGTCAGCTACTATAGTATCATCTGCAAATTTCTGTTAAGAGTGCATGCTGCCTCACCACCCAGGCTGTTGGTGAAAGTGCGGAACAACATCGGCCCTGCTGTTGACACCTAGGGTGCTACGCTTTGTTACCAACTGCCAACTGGATGTCAAGCCATCGATTAATATCCTTTGTACCCAGCAGTCCAGCCAACTTTTGACACTCCCTGAAGACTTCTAGTCCCATCCACACCTGTTCTGTTCCTGTAATTATTTTCCTCCTACAACACAGCCTTCTAATAACCACAAAAACAATAAAAAAAGGGAACTAGAAGTAGCAACTTTATTCACTGTTCACTCCTTAAGACTTACGGGTGTTCTTGGAAGAACAGGATGACAAGAACAGGAAGGTCACACGGTACATCCCTAAGAGAACTAAGTTACTTTTGCAAGAGCAATCTTATTTCAAAGTTCATATCTGGTACTTCTGAGACTCCTGTAAACATATTTCAGTGTAAATATAAGTACACACAACTAATTTTCCATTTTAGAGTTCAGAATCAAGTGCAGATGTCTGATGTGTTAAAAAAACCCCAGGAGTGAACAATCTGCGCATACTTACTCACAGCAACAATACCAAGCTTCTTCACCTGCAATTAAAATGTTGAAAAGGCATTTTTAGTGATTGGTTGCAATGAATTTGCTATAAACAGATATTCAAAATTCTAGGAACCAACCTAGATAAGGAATTTGCATGCCTCACAAGACAGAAGAATTATTCATCTTGCTTTACAACAGTACAGGAAAACCCATACATACTAGGTCAAAAGGAATGGGACAATGTATCTGCCAAAGGACAGCCAATCAGCAACAGTTACGTTGTGCCTCTTGATATACTTTAATGCACAGGAAACTAAGAAATTAGACACCTTGCAGAGCTTGGCCAAATTTGCTTTCACATTATCTCTGCTTCTACTTTATTTCCACTACAACCACACCATGTTATCAAATTAATTCTGTTCACACAGCAGTTGCTTCAGTTACAGTAATTTTTGCCCAGCAATGACCATTATTACTCTAGTTCAAAGTCTGTGGAGAAGATTGACAGGAGCAAACACTGAAAGGCTACCGCAAAGGCACAGGAAGATCTATGCTGTCCGCACTCTGCTGTTCACTATAACCACTGGATTCAGTTCTGGTTTGTGACTGTTTCTATACACTGAAAACGCTTTTATTATACAGCAAGTCAATATCACACGCTTTCATCTCGCTGAACTGAATTATGCCCATCTGTATTGCATCAGAAGTTTTAACACAATTGCTCCGCAAAATTTTAGCCCTTGGACGCTAAACGGCACCTATCCAAACTCCGGGTGAGCTCTGGCTTGAAGGAAACGCCTCAGCACATGGGCGCTCCTCTGCCCGACGAACAGGCCGTGCTGCGCCCGGTCGGGCACGGAGAAGCCCGCCAGCGCGCCCACGCG